ATTTTATGTATGTATGTATGTATGGATTTATTTATTTATTGCTTTTGTGTGTGTACCGTCAAATTGGATCTGACTGGTACAGGAGGCGATTGTTCTTCCTTCTTCAGCAGAGCATCTGGTGGATTTGAACTGCACACCTCTGGAATTGCAGTGCAGTTTCCTACCACTAGGCCACCAGAGCTCGCCAAAACATGGTATTTTCATGAACTTCAAATGTAATACAACAGCTGGACAATGAATAAGGAAGAAATGTTCTTGTATTTTTTTTATTATGGTGTTGATGAAATTTATTGGATATACCAGGGACTGCCAGAAAAAGAAATTGATCTGTTTAGGAAGAAACACAAGAAATCTCCTTAGAAGAGGGGATGGCAAGACTTTGTCTCAGAGTAGGAGCTTGCCCCTGTAGAAAGACATAAGCTAGGTAAAGTCAGCAAGAAAGAGGAAGACTTTCAATGAAATACATTGACAAAGTGGCTGCAAAAATAGGCTCAATCATTGCAACAATGTGAGGATGGTGCAGTGTTTCCTTCTACCCGTACATCGGGTCTCTATGAATTGGAACCAACTTGATGGCAGATAACAACCTATCTAATATGAAATGTTGTTATTTTTGTGTAGTACCTTCAAGCTGGGAGACTCACAGCTGACCCTCGAGCAGTTTTCAGAAGCAGTTAATTGCCTGGAAGGAGATTGTCCATCTTTCTCCTTCAGAGCAACTGGCAGATTCTATGTGACTTTGGGTTGACAGCACAATTCCTTTACCACTAGGCCACCAGAGCTCCCTAATATGAAATAATGGAGGGAAAACAAGGTAATTAGAAAGCATCACCAATTCCCATATGGAAAAGGGGAAAAGAGAAAACAACAGGTACTAAACTATAGCTTTCTGAGTAGTCAAGTGAGTTCCTTGGTGAACAAAATTGACTTTTCCTCATGCTTTGCACTGGGAAATATCTCCTTAACTTGCTAATTCCCAAAGCATGCCTCTTTTAGAATCAAAGTCATTTGCCTTTGGATATGATTTTGAGGTGTAAAGATGGTCTTAGAAATTAAGCATTCTCTGGTCTCTTTTCCTTGGTGTGGAAAGTCTCTGGCAATACAGTTTCTTTCCTTCCAAGTGGATTGATTTGATTCCTGGGCTCTGTGTGAGCTAGTATCCAAGTCTGTCTGAGTTTTAGTCCTTGAATATGGATCTGGCTCTTGTGGTCTCTTGTGGTTTCTGTCTCTTATCAACAGGTCACACTTTACTCCTTTTCCCATCCCTTAGCTTCACAACATCCATAATGGCCTATGTGATGAGTCATCCTTAATCTGCTCATTGCCCTCAGAGAGATTCCATTAAAACACTTACTTGCTCACCCTCCAATACTGGGCTCTGACTGTTGTGCTGGTGGTGGGGGTGGTGTTCAGCTCAGTCGACTCAGACTCATAGCAACCCTACTAGGTAGTCAAAACTCCTGAACAGTGCTGACTCCTAGGACTAAGCCCCTAGGGGTTGCTTAGGACAGCAGCGGGGCAGCCATGAAAACACTCATTCTGAATAGCAACCTATGGCTTGACCTCCTACTCCCCACCATCCATTATCACATTCAGGTTATATCAGCAAAAGACCCCTAGGGGAAGTCTGTCAATGGGTGTTGAACATGAGGATTTTCTGAGAACCTATACAGTTTAGGGTAGAGTACCCTGTAGAAGGCAGGCCTCCTGGAATTTCTTTCTCTTTCTGGATGTGATCTAGGTGTAGAGAGAAAAGACCTTTGGTCTAAGATAAGACTACCTACCTCTAACCTTGGAAGCAGCTATATACTGTGACCAGACTTAGAGGTTTGACCATTCTTCAAGTAAAGGTCAAAGGATTGCACCTAATCTTTTCCAACTTCATTGTTAACCTTTGAGTATCCTCTGTCCTACCTGCAACCACTTTCATTGTGACTCAGTAAGTACTCAAAGACTGCTTTGGGCCGCTGAGCCTCTCTTCACAGTCAGTGTAATTTGTATAGTTCTGTTATAAAACCCTCTGGTATTATTTGGGGGTGGGGAAAACAGCTAAGAAAGAAAGGAAATTTATTAGTTTAAGGAGTTACTAGCTATGTGTGCACCTGTGGTTTTGTTTTTTTTTTTTTGTGCCTATGCTTTTGCCTCGTTCCTATGGGTTCTGCAAAGAGATGAACCTTTGTGTCAAGTACAAACTAACTCAGATAGGGAAGAAAACCTTCCTTCTTTCCTAGCTTTGATCTTGAATATTGTTATCACAGCTTTCCCTACTCTCTAGCAGGCTGTGCTCAGGAGAAAGTGTAAGGAACCAAGAAGAGAGCCTGTGAAATGAGCTCCAGCTTGTCCTGGGAGTAGGCCAGCATTGACTTCTTTGAACCAGTGGCTTCAGAAACAATGGACTTAAGCATGGCCAAGACTGTGAAAACATGCAAGATAGCACAAGGTTTCAATCTGTTGTTCATAGGGTTTGAAATCTGTTCAGCTTTCTATGTAATTTTTTCAATTTACTTTTACTGTCTCTACATTCTAGGTCAAGTTTCAGAGGCTCTTCTGACATTCATTTTGTATTTCCTTTTTAAATGTCCTTTTGCTTTCCTAATGCATGAGGGTGGGTGTTTTGGCTTTTTTAAAAAATGTATGAGGTTATTGATGTCATGCCATAATTCACTTGGTCTTTGGTCTTTTGTGTTCAATGTATCAAATCTATTCTTGAGATGGTCTCTGAATTCAGGTAGGATATGGATATTTTGATTTTGACTTTTCATTTTTTCCAACTTCAACTATGGGAGAAAGTAGCAAAGATAAATCCTGAATCTTACAGAATTCTGGAGTTTTTAACATTTTAATCTTGGGGAAGATTTCCTGCGCTTCCCCAAGATGTACATGCTCAAATACACACTCACACATGCATGGTTCTCAAAAGCTGTGATGGGGTCCTTACTGCTAAATTGTTTTAAGGACCGGGTCAAATTCCACAATTGCTCTGAACTTAACACTATGGAGGCTATAAATCCTGTATTTTAATATATTTTACTCTTTCAGTTACTTTGAACAGTAAGTGTAACAAATACTGATATAGTATTGTGGCAGGTGGAAAAGTGAGAAAGGGAGACTTCAAAAGGAAAAAACCTCTTCAAAAGAGGCTGAAGGTGTGTAAATGTAAAAACAAAAACAATAATAATGCAACGGAAGATTCTAAGAAGTCTAGGTGGTACATTCTGTCAAGCATAAGGATTTTAAGTAAAAGGTTCATGGTTTGAATCCAACAGTTTCATAGAAGAAAAATGAGGCAGTTTGCTCCCATAAATTTCTATATTCTTGGAAATACAAAGGATCAGTCTATCCTGTTCTCTAGGGTCATTATGATTTGAAATATAAGATTCTGGCTGAAGTTGGCACAAGATGGATAAACAGAACTTTTTCTTTCCGCACATGGGGATAAAGTCTGCTTATGTCCAGATAAAAAGTGGTAACGAGGAACAAAGGGCAGATCTAAAATTAGTGCTAATGGAAAAAAAAAAAATTAGTGCTAATGGGAAAGAAGGACAGCTGGAAGCCCCAAGACAACCAATTCTAATAAGAAGTCTGGAAATACTAAGTTAACTCAATTTGCCTTTACCAACATAACCAAAATCATAGCATTTAGGGAATGTTTTGATGGCCTCATCAGTAGAGACTTGCGCTGCCAACCTAAAGGCGGGAAGTTTGAATCTACCAGCTGCTCCGTGGGAGACAAATGGGCAATTGCTTCTCTTGCGATTTCAGCTTCCAAAAACCAGCTGAGACGTTAGTATGAGTCAATTCTGGATATGAATTTTGCAGGTTTCTTCCAAGTTGCAGGTTGTGGTTGCTGTAAGTCAGTGATCCCTGGTGTGTTAGGTTTCACCATAGAAATGAAGGTAACAGACTGTTTATATTGTAACAAAATTTTCTTTACTAGTTGTCCTAAGGCTGCAGCGAGGCTGCTCCTCGACTTTACAGACAATCCGGAACCCCCTAGACTAATCGTTCCTCCTCACCACAAGGGGCGCCAAACGCAAATACCCTTCCCTCTGAGAGCCCTCCGCGATTCCCACCCTCCGTTCCACAAAGCCCCTCTTTCTCCACATCACCCTACCGACTCAGGGCGCAAGCGCCACCCCTCTCAACTTACGACCATCACGCAGGCGTCCCAAACCTGGCGTCGGGGCGGAGCGGAGGCGCGCCCAGAGGCAGATCGCGTGGCCATTGGCCAGAACAAGATCACGTGACCGTGGAGTCGCCTCGCGAGCGTGCGCACAGCGGCTCCGCGCGCCCGTGACGGGACGACGAGGCGA